CCATTTCTTGTTATTTCAGGATGAGGATGATGGTGAAGAAATGAAAAAGGATACGTAGGGCATGCAGGACATGGCCGTAGGGCTTGGCCGCTAGCCTTGCAGCGAGGCTAGGGACCATTAGTTGTCACACATCCTGCTCTACACCACACCTGCCTGCCCTTATTATACCTACACTTACCCTGCTCGTGTCACAATCTGATGAGCTAGCTCATTAAGCAAGTTTAGATGTGGTTTCATGGTATATGAAGATAAAATGGAAATGCTGCAAAAACCAAAGATAATTGGTGTTTCAACCTTGCAGATAATTGTGAAATAACTTGTCAAATAAAATAGGTGAAAAATGGTTAATTCAGAATCTATCCTATTAATTTTTGTAGTTAGCTCAATGTAAGCAGCTGTTATGTGCACCAATCTTTTCTGCACTGGATGGAGCAGTCAGGTGTAGTGTGCTGTAGAGGTGCTGGCAAGCAATCAAGAGCCTGGAAGCTCCTGCAAATGTGGCCAAGCAGCGTTTTGGCTGCCCGTATTCAGGCTTGGCTTTACTATCTGGCTACTTTCAGTGCCGCAGCCATTATAGTTTAATACATATTACTTTTGTGTTTCTGCCTTTGCAAATTCTGTGAGCCTTATTACTATTATCATTCAAGTTGCATAAAATGTTTGTTGTTTCTGGTAAGAACCTTTCAAAGTGATAGATGTGTGTTGTGGTGTGTCTCACCCCCTTCCCTCCTCCCCATCTTGTGCATATCTGGATAGCTGTCTTACTCTTCAATTCATGGCTTCAGCTTCAGTGCAAATACCTAATATGAAATTTCCCAGACTTACACAAAATCCCAAACTTCTGAATGTACTGTATTTTGTTTCAGCAAATTTGTGTGCTAGTGTTTACTTTTAAACAACTCCTACAAGTATTTTTTGGCTTAGATAAATTATGTAAGAGTTTTGTGTATACTGTAGTGTGATTTCAAGTGTGTATGCTATCAAGATATGAAACAGGAGACTCCTGGGTCAGTATATACCTATACGTCCTGCGCATGCAAAAAATGGGCACACAGTGAGAGATGAGTAGGATTGTGTGTAAAGTGCGTGTGAGCTGAAAAGCTTGAGTATGTCATATAATGATGATAGAGCAAACACTCCTCACTTTATAAGAACCTCCTTATATTTGTGGAAAGGTAGACTTTGTATATCTTTAATATTTGATAACAGTTTTGCCTTCTGAATCTTTCATTTGAGTTATTTGGTGCTTTTTTCCTTTTGTAGTAAAGTCATCTTTATTTTTTATTTTCTGTCACCATAAAAGCCAGTGTTGTAGAGCACACCATTTGTGTGTAGTGGCAAGGCCAGGATTCTGCATTTTTTGGAGGTAAAAAATGTTGAAGTGCTTCTCTGCAGCAGCAAGTGTAACATGCATCACTTAGGAAGACAGGCATTGTTATTGCCAAAGAAGCTGGAGGAAAACAGTGCTTTCATATTTGTTCGCCCTCATGAAATGTCTAAGAATTCGTCCTCTACTGAACTCGTACAGTGAATAGACACACCTGTCCCCGCTGTTCCTTGAACATGTATGTAACCAAAGGGGAACACTAAAGGGACTGTAGAAAACATTCGCAAATTATTCTTTTTCCTCCCTTCAGCATATACATATAAAGCTACTGTCAAAGTATAACCTTTACCCAGTGTGCATATTATGTGAAAATACTGTATCCATAAAAAAAACAAAAAAATGAGTATATTAGGTCCTAGGGCTAATGCTGAGCCTGAGCCTACCTGGAACCATAAAAGTGATTTTCAGGAGTTTAATGTCAACTCAATTAAAGTGACTCCAGGATAATCAATACTGCTAATGCAACAGCCACAATTACATTATTGCATCTGTGGAAGCACAGCCTTATTGACCAAAGCTCAACTTTTTTCTTTCTTTTTTTAACTCCTTTTTCTGATAGATGACAACTGCTTTCTTCAATTTTGATTTGCATCTTCATCCAAGTCTAGCTAATGTTTTCTGGCATTAAGAATTGTAGATGTAAAGTTTAAGCTTTCCTTTTGTTTTACCTCTGGAGTTGTACAGAATTAACTCATTTTATTCTTAATCAAGAATTATCTAGTACAGATACATTTCATTTGATTGTCTCACATTAAACTATTGTATTTCTACATACAAGATTCTTTGTAAGTATTTAGAGCAGTGCCCAGTATATAGTTTCGAATATAGGAGAGCTTTTAATTGAAAATGGCACAAATTGCCCATCAGTCAGGAAAAATCTGAACTTAATGAAAACGGATTCTCTCCTATATGAATTGAGAGAAAAAGGAAATGTTTGTTGGTCTCAATATCAATAAATCTGTAACATGTAACTAGAAACAACTCATCCTCGGTTAGTTTTATCTTCAGATATGTAGGAAAACTGATCTTTTCATTTATAGGACAAAAGATTTCCTAAGTGAAATATAACATTGTGCTTTGTGTATATAATGTTATCAATAAATTTCAATCATA